GCTCTTATGTTTCCACTTACTAGTAGAGAGCACGAACCTAATTCATGCACCCTAGCAGTAATGCCTCTTTGCGATAAAATTCCGAGCTTGGATATGAAACTATCAACATTCTCCTATATTGTTGAACATACGTCAAGGTAAAACATAGTTACTCAGTAATTTGATTATGAAATTTTATAGTCTTTTCATACTTCTTATGCGTACATTGAGAGTAATTGCTATTTTTCTTGTCTACAGGACTGTTAACTAGAAGTCCCTTCCCTTCTGCCGTTTTTTCTGAGTGTGATTGAAGGCTAAAGAGATTTGTACAATTTTTATAACTCAATCTTATTATACTATTTTGTTGACCTTCAGTATTGTAAATCGGGACTACACCACTCGTCTGTTATGTGGTTCCTTTACTTAGGCTCCTGGATTACTGGAGTCTAGAGTCGGTTAGAGTAATGAAGTATCCTCCTAATTTCGCTTCTCCTTCTCTTTTCTCGTTGAATTGCCTTTTTTCTAGGATTACAACTTTTACTTCTCTTCTTCTAGTTTTAGGGGAACCCAATCAAAGTTTATACCATCTTTACCCTACTTAGTCCATCATTGAAAGTCGAGAAAACGTATTCCGTAGTTTGACCCAAGAGTATGTTAACCCCTTTGGTTTCATTTGCTGCTAATTGAATACTGGTTCCCTCTATGAACTGTGGTGTATATATAACAAACACAGCTCTGATTTCCACAAATATCATATGTTCTAGTTTTTTATAAGAGTTGCCAGATGTGTTTCAGGGAACATGAAATTTACAGTGCTGTTGATGTGGGTCAGGGAAACTCTTGCAGATGTTTGTTATATGTTTGTTGACATATGCTACCATGAGTTTTTCTGATTTAGTCTATTTTTAGGGATAGTAAATCTTTATTTAGAAGCCACTTTTCTGAAAGTTACTTAAAATATTGGGAGGCACTTTCATCTTTTTGAAACTCTTAATCCTGGTTTATTTTCGTATATCGAACTGCAACTCATCAGCCAAGAGTAAATATTTATTTTGACGTTGTCTGTTGGTCAAGTGGTGGCTGGCGATTAGGCGCATTCACATAATTGGGTTTGTTGATGGACGAATCTCGCATTTGGGCTAATTCATCCCCGCACTGCAACAAGGTCACATTTTCATGGGTTTGCGCTCTGACTAACTGTTTAAAAGAGAAACAGTTAGAAGAAGCATTTAATGTTCAGCAAAAAAAATTTCAGTAAGTACCAAATGTTTATAATTGTTTTATAATCATGATCTTCTTCAAATTTTGCATATCTAGCCTTATTGAAAAATTGACGTGTTTATATCTT